CAGATTTCTTAGTTGTTTCTGGTATCTTTGATGTGATATAAAAATTTAATCTATCTTCTCTTAAGTGAAGATAGATTAATTTTGCTCTTATTGTTGAATTGGAAAGGGACTAATATAAATCTTCTTATTAAATGTGGGAGTGCCGTGCTTCCATACGCTAAGCACTGGACTATAAGCCATAAGTCCACTGTTTGAGACTGCCAGCTGCTCTGTGGTAGAAAGATGAGACTTTCTGCTCCTGTGGAGATTCAAAGCCTCAGAAACCCTATACTGGGTTGCTGTGAGTCAGAACATTTTAACAATATTAAAATGTAGTCAGTAAATAAATACAGTTTATTTTCTTTCAGAAACAGAAATGGCAATAGACTTTCTCAAACATTTCACACATCCTACTTATTATTTCAAGTGGGTGCTTCAGTTTCACTTTTATTCTTTTTGCAGATTTTAAGCCAATTCTCTCAGTATCTTGTATTCTTAAAGTAGATATAGTGTGTCCCTATGTGGCATTGCAGAAAAATGAACTAGATTGCAAATTGATGGTTCATACCCCCTAGCTGCTCCTCAGAAACCCTACCCTAGGTCGTTATGAGTTGAAACCAACTAGACAGCCCTTAACAACAACTATAACTGACTTACCTGCAAGTTGGTGGTCCTGTTTCAGCTTAGAATTGGAGCTGTCTCCTTACTCTTTGTTTCCAGCCCTATTGCACCTACTGTTATATCTCATGCAGTTAGGCAGCACTAATCCTGTTTGGTTCATAGAATAAAACAAGCAGGTCAGTTCTCCCACGCTAATGCTAGTGCTTCTTTGGAATGCCATTCCCAAGGACAGTGTATGCCCACCATTCCCATAGTACTCATTAGTGCTAAACTCTGTGATGTCACCTTAGCTGCTTTTCACCTGCCTCTAGTCCTGGTGTGGTGCTGTGGGTTAATGCGCTGGACTGTAAGATCGCCTTGAACTGCAAGGTCGGGGATTCTAGCTCACCAACTGCTCCTCAGAAACCCTATGCAGGGTCACTCTAGGTTGGAACTGACTCTGTGGCACATAAGAAACCAACAGCAGCACTCTCTGTAATGGTGCTCTTGGAAGTCAAAAAATCAATGTATTGGTCAAATCTCTTGTAAAAGACACTTTCAAGATGCTAAAGAGAAAAACTGTCACTCTGAGGTGGGCCTAACCCAAACCATGGCATTTTCAAACACCTTGTATGCGTGTGAATATTGGACTACAGATAGAATAAGGAAGAATGAAGAAAAATGGATGTATTTGAATTGTGGTGTTGAGGAAGAATATTGAAAGTACTGTGGGTTTCCAGAAAAATCATCAAGTCTGTATTGGAAGAAAAACAGCAGGAATACTCCTTAGAAATGAGGAGAAAGATATTTCATTTAACACTTTGGACATGTTATCAGGAAGAAACACTCCCTGGAGAAAGACATCGTATTTGATGAAGTAGAGGGTCGGTAAAAAAGAGGAAGGCTCTCAATGAAGTGGCTGCAACAATGGACTTAAATGTAACAACAATTGTGAGGATGGCACAGGATTAGGCAATGTTTGTTCTGTTGTACATAAGGCTACTATGAGTCAGAACCGACTGGGTGGCACCTAACAACAACAAACAGCATAATGGGACTGTAACTAGGATCTTAACTACTAACTGGGAGATCAGCAGTTTGAATCCATCAACCACTCAGTAGGAGAAAGATGTGATTGTCTGTTTCCATAAAGATTACAGTCTCGTAAATTATTTGAGGTAGTTCTATTCTATCTTATAGGAGGATTATGAGTTAGAATTGACTCAGTGATTACCAAATCTTGTGATTATAGTAACATACAGAGAAATAATTAAATGCAGCAAATGGTAAAAGTATTCAGTTACTAATCAAAAGATTGGAAGGTTGAGTCCACCCAGAGGCATCTCAAAAGAAAGGCCTGGAAATCTATTTGCAGAAAAACTCAGCCTTTGAGAACCATATAGAGCACAGTTCTTCCCTGACACAATGGCAGTTGTTTTGACTTAATGACAAATGGTCCACTTATAACCCATACTGAGGTTCCTAAAGCAACTAGGAAAGTAAAACAGAAACGCAGGGTTTAGGAACTAATTCAGGAGTCATTAGTACCGCTCACTCTCTTGTCCGTTAATAAGATAGTCTATGTGGACCTAAGACATGAAGGGGGTAGCAATGTGCCTGTGCTTATGTGTACATTAAGGTAACTTTTCCATTTGCTCTGAACTCAAACTTTTATATATCTTCTCTCACTGTGAGACACTTCAGTAAAGAACTCTGTTCTCTACAGCTTCATGTACACTCTAGTGCCTGGTACCGTGTATCACACATACTGTTCTTGTAAGTGTTGTCCAGTGAGTTCTGAGTCATAGTGACCCTTTTTCAGGGTTTCTGAAATAATAAATCTTTACAGGAGCAGAAAGCCTCATCTTTCTCCCACAGAGTGTCTGGTGGGTTTGAACCACTGACACAGTGGTTTGCAGTCCAGTGCCTAGCCTATAGATAGTACCCCACCAGAAGTCTCTATACTGTCACTGTTGTTGTTGTTACATGCTGCCCAGTCAATTCCAATTCATAGTGACCCTGCAGAGGGTTTTCAAGGAGCAGCTGGTGGAACTGAAACATCAAACTTGTTTTTAGTCGTGCAGTGTTTATATTAGGTGAATCAGAATGCTCGTTAAATTCATTAATGAATAATTTGTAATAAGTAATATGGGATATTTTAAAAAAATATATGGGATATAAGGAGCTCTGGTAGCGTAGTGGTTAAGAATCGGGCTGCAAACCTTAAGGTCAGCGGTTCAAAACTACCAGCCGCTCCGCGGGAGAAAGATGAGGCTTTCTACTCCCGTAAAGATTTACAGCGTCGC